CATTTTTGCTGAAACCCCCCCATCCAGAGAAGTATAATATATAGTTGTTTTTTTTAATTACGTTAAAAATTAATTTCATTAAAACAAATCATTCAAAATGGATTAATCAAAAAAAACATTTCAATTTAATTTGTAAATAAATTCCTCGTGTCTGCATTGTCTCTAGCTGTTTGTTTGTATCCAAAAAACGTCAAAACGGTTAAACCGATAGGGCCCAAAATTGTTTGTGGGACCACAACGTGACCCCAGGGAAGGTTTATGATGTTCAAAATTTAGAAAATTAGCCTCCAACAAAATTTGATTTTCATTTAAGTTTTAAAATCGGCTAAATGTTTTTTTTGTTTTTGTTTTACAATGTACACACAGAGAAAATGTTCACAATTGAAAAAGAAGATGGACGCGAAGCGCCCTAAAAGCCCAGTGATTTAAATATTAAAAGAAATATTTGAATCCTAGCAAATATTAAATTTCACTAAAATTTCAGTTATATGTATGTATATTTAGTTTTAAGATCGGACAACCCAAGGTTAGAAAAACTGAGGGTTAAACATTTTTAGACACTTCTATTTTTAATAGTGATAGGTTAAGGTTGAGAGGAGTAACCTGGATGAAAATCTAAACCTTGAAACAGGTTCCAGGGTTTCAGGTTTACTCCAGGTTACCTCCAGAACAGGACGAATCATAGAATCATAAGGCACATAGAACAGAGTACATAGTAGTAAAAGAAAGTAAATGAAAGATTAGGAAATATAAGGAAAGTACAGAAAAGTACTGATTAAAGTAAAGTACAGGAAAGTAATAGAGGAAATGCACACATAGAAGAAAAGTGTTAGAGAGTCGAAAGGTAAAATAGGAAAAGACGGGAAAGTACTTGAATGTTCATGAAAATAAAGACGAGTACTAAACCGTACAGAAAAAGGAGCAAAAAAGTACAGAAGAGTACATCAAATTATAAAAAGAGTACAAGAGAGTACAGAGAACAAAATTGTTCAAGTGAGTGTATAGTGGGCCGGGCACAAGAGTACAAGGGAGAACACAAGAGTTTGTTTATACCTCCCAAATATTGAATTACACTTCTTTTGCAAAATAAAGAATTAAGGGGTTCATCTTACTTTTTAAAAACTATAAACGAAATTATACAAAAATATGGCAACATGGTCGAGTCCATTATTTTATTTTTTTGGGTGAGGAAGGTTGAAGTTAAAAGTTATACTCCTACTCTTCTACTCCTTTCCATTCTAAATTTTTGCCAATGTTTTGTTATATCTCTTTCAACTTTTGATGAATTTTTATCAAATCTTGGAAACACAATGATACATTTTCCCAACAATTTTTCAAAATATCTAATTTTTTCAAAAAAAAAGTTGGTTTCGCGGTTTTTTTTCAATGTTCCATACATACTTTTAAATTTTTTTTGTCATATTTTTAATGCATAAAATCCGAACAAAACAAAAATTTTGAAAAATTTGTTCGAAACATCGATAATCTTTTTTTTACTTCTAGCCCACATTACAAATGGCATTGATCTTTTGCTCTGTAGTTTTTATATTTTCCATGGTCAAGGATGTTTGACTAAAAATAAAAAGCCTTGACTTTATCATCTTTGTCTACATTATAGTACAACCTACCTTGTCTCCGATATTGGACCAGTCCACTCACCTTCCTCCCCCTAATGTTATACACTCTCACCTTCCTTACCCAAGATTGGTCGAGTCTATTTCTAATCAAAACAAATACATTAAACCTCGTTGATCAAATTACAACCAAGTTTTTAAAAATATTAAGCCAACACAACAAAATAATTTAGATTAATTTAAACTCCTAACATTTATTATTATTTATAATTTATTTGATTTTAATTATTTATAATTATATTATTCATTGAGGAATTAGAAAAATAATTATAATTTATTCGGTTTTGTTAAATTGGAACATACAATAAAATAGACAATATATCTTCTATATATATAATAATGAACTTGTTCAGGCTAAATAGTGCTTATTGACCGAGTTAGCCAAGGTGTAAAATATTGTGTGAATTGTACAATATGTCAGTATGTCAGTATGTCAAGGGAATTATACTAGTTTAAATGATAATTCATATAGATATATAGGGCAGTCATTTATAACAAACCATTTTTCAACCTTGACCCTTCCAATTCATACTTTTGTAAACAACATATTTCTAAAAAAAAATTAAGAATTAATTATGTGAAGTTGCATC